AAAAAAAAAAAAAAAAGTAAGTCAAGCTGTTCTAAAAAAAAAAGAACAAAGATGGGAGGATTTTGCCAAAATCAACTTTCAAACCATAATTATGGGAACTGTGTGCTCTTGGTACCAGAATAGGTAAATTGATCAATGATCTCAAAGTAAGAGATTGTGTCTGAACTCTAAGCGGAAACTTGATATACAGCAAACTTGCCACTATAATTTAGTGGAAGAAGAGATAAATTATGTTGGGGAAAGTGGTTCATGCATGGAAAAAATAAATAAATGAGGACTCCTGGCTCATCTTGCAAACAAAAGTGAACCCCAGAGAGATTAAAGCCAAATACAATATCTGCAATGATATGGGAGACGATAACTACAATGTCAAAAGCAACTACCATACAGATTTATATTTAAAATTTAAAGTACAAAGAGATCCTGCAAATCAGCATGAAGAAGATAAGAGACCCAATTTAAAAGTAGGCATGGCACAAGAACAGGAAATACACACAAAAAAGAGAAATATGAATGCCTAACAGTTACATGCTCAAGTGTTCAAACTCATGCGAAATCAGAGAGAAGAAAATTAGTAGACACTGAGATATGCCTTTATAGCCATGATGCTTTGCAAAAATCCAAAAGATGAATAGTACAAAGTAGAGATGAAGACACAGGATAAAACAGTCCCCTTTAATTTCTGATCATGTCAAAGGATTCAGCCACTCAAACAAGCATCCTTGAAGTACTTAGTGAAATTAAATTTGTGGGTTCATGTTTATGAATAAACAGTGTGAACTGAAGACTTTACTCACTTATGAGATAATCAGGTGATCTGGTCTTCCTATTTACTTGGTTGCTACCCTTGAAATTCTCCACTAAGTTTATGAAGGTTCACAGCAGCTGCTTTCATTATGTGCCATCCTCTACAACTGTTGAGTCACCTTCACTTTTGAGCTGTGGCCTGCTGTCTACCAAGTCAGGTTCCCTGGCAGGGCACTGGACAGATAGAAAGAAATAGAGCTTTTTATTTTCACCACACTGTCTTATCTGCCCCTGTGACTAATGCGCAGAGCTGTGGAAGCATGCTTATGTTATTTTTCTACAGTGTGAGGGCAATTTCTGAAGGAAATTACAATGCCTGAGGGCCCACAATGAAAGATAATTTGAATTTCAGCTGATGAGAAGATACAAAGCTGTTACAATTTGCACAGGGGGTCCTCTGATCTGATCCTGTGTTTAAATTTGCTTTGGAGCATCACCCACATCCCTGTAAACCCGACAATCTCTACACCCATTTTCCTGAAAGACATAATCGGCTCTGAGTTTTCCCCACCCTTCCTCAGGGAATCCTGGCTCCAGAATCCGAGATGCCACTGCAAATAAGAGGGGTACAGAGAGAGTAAGAGAGGAACTCAGCTTGAGTTTATGGGATGTGGGGCCTGACAGTCTCTTGGCTCTGATTTTTTTTTTATTAAGTGCATATCTTGAAGGCAAATATTTTTTTCGTCAGCAAGCACAGAGCTAACATCTAATTTATTTTTAAAAATTAATTTTATTGGTACAATTTAAATATATATAATGATCACGTTCATCAAAGGGAATTTCTACCTTCCTTCCCTTCAACCCCCTCCCCTCCTTATTTACAAAAGTTTTGTTTCCATTTTTTCCTTTTCTCATTTTTGTTTTCCTTTCCTTCTTTTCCCCCTCCCCCTTCCCTGTTTTCCTGTCATTTTGAACAATTTCTTCCTATTTCACATCATCTGTTATACATTTTGGTCCTTATTTACCCTTTCAGTTTTTCACACCAGAGAAACAATGCGATATGTGTGACCGATTTATTTCACTTAAGAGTATAGTCTCAAGGTGCATTCATTTAGCTATAATGTCTCTGATGTGTCTTTATGGCTGAGTTGTACTCTACTGTATAAAAAAGACCAAAGACCACATCTTTTTTTAATCTATTCATTGGGTTGTTCCCATGATTTAGTTATTACAAACTGTGACTATAAACATGGGTGTGCATATATCATTATGGTATGATGCCTTTAATTCTTTTGGGAAGATACCCAGAAGGGGAATAGCTGGATCAAATAGGACCTCCAATCCTAAGCTAAGATCCAATTTGAATGGTTATTTCTTCCAATTAATAAAGTTTGGTATCCCTCGACGTGATGGGTCCCTGTGGTGACATTCTTCCATGACTTTGCCAACATGTGATGTTTGGTGCCATTAACAAACTCTACACCAGTGTTTAAAGGTGGCTCTCATTGTATTTCTCTTCAGATTCTCTGTGGTTGGAGGATAGTCAGTGAGTTGAGGTAGGTTTGAGCTTCTGATTGTTCTACCACAGAGTGAATTAGAGAAGAGGAGGGCAGAGGTGAGATCATCAGCGACCACCATGGTGGGACAAAAGACTAGAACAACAAAATAAGCTCCTGGGCACAATGAACCGTTGCTTCTCTGACCTATGAATTAAACTACAGTGATCTGCGGTGTCAGGGTAAGTAGGACCCTAGGTATGAGAAGGGTCAGCTGCAGGGAGATAACCTCCTCATGCAAAGGGTAGGATGTGGTCAGGACTTCTGTGGTCAGTCCCTGGTCTCACCCTTCCTGTAGACGTGCAGTAGTTAATGCCCACACAGATCTACCTGGTGTGGACCTGCTCTGCAGCCCCGAGGGAGGTGAGTGGAGACTGCCAGACTTTTTAGATAGCACAGCGACAGCCACTGGGGCTAAGACTGCTTTCATCAGAAATCTGTGGGTGGAAACTTCCAGGGGTTTGCTCTGCGCTGCTGAGGTTTCTCTGCTTTAGATGCTAAGTGAGTGGGTGTCTCTCTCAGACGCAGAAAGAGAGGACAAGAGAGAGAGGTGTTTCCCTTGGCTATGGAAACTCTATAAAGACCAAACCAACTTTTCTCTTCAGCAGTCAGCAACAGGAGTCTTGTCTCTGACGCTTCAGCCTCCACAGGACTGAGAGAAGTGAAATCCTTTGCCGTACTGGCCCAAGACACTGGCAGCCATGCAGCAGCACCCAAATTACCCATATCCCCAGATCTACTGGATAAATGACAGTACCAGCTCTGCCTGGGCCCCTCCAGAGTCAGTTTTCCCCTGTCTGTCCTCTAGGCCTGGTCAAAGGAGGCCACCGCCACCGCCACCACCACCACCACCACCACCACCACCACCACCACCGCCACCGCCACCACTGCCACCTTCAAAGGAGAGGCGGGACCGCCACAGAGACTTGTATCTCTTTGTGATGTTTTCCATGGTGCTCGTGGCCCTGGTTGGACTGGGGCTGGGAATGTATCAACTCTTCCACCTACAGAAGGAGCTAGCAGAGCTCCGGGAGGTAAGTCTGGCCTTTGGGCTGTTTACAGCAGGAGGGGGTGAGAAGCCTATTGTGGGGCACAGGGACCACTGCTTTGCTTACAAGGCAGTTTTTAAGACATTTTCCTCCTGTTTTAAAAACAGAAGGTCATATAAGTAAAGGGAATATTTTCTGACTTGTAAAAAAATCAGAGGCAAACAATTCTTCCTTTCTCAGTGGTAAAGTTACTCTATTGAGATACTGCCTCACACCTAGTGATTCAAGGAATAGAAAGAATTTCGAGTCTTGCTTGGAAGGCAAGACTTGCCCAAGTAGCCAAAGTAAACCTTGAAAAGACTTGAAAATACTGGCACTACCCCAAATCTCAAAACTGAGGGACACTGAGGCACAATTGCTTGGGCAAAGTCAAAGTTAGGCAAGGATTTGAGATGTTTGAATTCTCTCCAGGGCTTGCTTTATTTGACAATTCTGCCTCTTTTGCTTAAGTCACTGAACTTATTATACAACTTTTCTCTTTGTCTTTTGCCAGGTCACCAGCCAAAGTCATACAGAATCATCTCTGGAGAAGCAGATAGGTAAGTCCTTTCATTTGTGTACATTGAGTTCTCTAGAGATAATCCCCTGCACTGAACAAAGTTGGTGGAATAACTTGAGTTCTGCCCCATTGTTGGGCTTATCAATACTGTGAGAGGAATTCTGGCTAATTCAGAATATCTGGTCAATATGGTTCCTTGAACTACTTAAAGATACTAAGCGAATTTAATTGCTCAAAATCAGTGTGGCCGAGCACTGCACATAATTCAAACTAGTTTTCCCTTGACATTGGAAAGTGGCACTCATGAACCCTGGATCTTTGCCGCTGGCTCCGGGCAGCTGCCCCAGGCCTGGCTCCCTCCTCAGACATCCTGGCTTCAGCACACATGGCCATAGCTGTAACTCCTAGGAGAGAAGAAGAGGCGGGGGAAGACACAGATGTGTCTAGGCAATCTCCTCTCCTCTTTTAAATTCTCTCAAAATGATTACTTAGGAGTTAAGCTTTGTTTTAAAATATTTTATAGGATCTAGCTAAGCTTTTAAAAAGTGGGCAATGGATCACCCACATTAGTATGGTTCTTTTGAAATTGCTGGGAAGCTTGGGGAAAGATTTTAGCTATTATTAGAAGGATTTGTTCAGCTTTACCCATGGAAGACTCAGGAGCTACCTTTGGTGATAAAGGAAAAATCCTTTGTATGAGATCCAGGATAGGAAGATGTTGAACATTGACCTCATGAAATTATAGGGCATAGTTGTGGAAGCTGGGGACAGAAGGATTTTGAGTTATGCTTCGTTTGTCTTAAACTCAAAATTTTTAGATTTGGTTTGAGTTGGAAGGTAGCTTAGAACTTATGTGGTCCAGCCATCTCCTTATGTTTTCAGAAGAGAAACAAAATACTAGAGAAATTAGACAATGTGCCCAAGACCACTGGTGTGGAATAGAGAGTCTTCTGGTCTATAAATTGGTGCCTCAGGAAGTGGAGAAACTCCCCTCTCTATACAATGGCCATGGAAGGAGAAGTAGATGCAAAGTAGGACTCCCTTGGAAAGACAGTGGGAAAATCTTATCCTTAGAAATGGGAAAGAAACAGAAGGCAACTGGCAGCACTGGCCATCTGTGAAGTCAGCTCTTGTGGGAACCATCATTGGAATGTTCTGGTCCCCAGTTCTGTGTCCAAATTCTTAAGGGTTAGAAATCCAGATGTACACAGCAGGCTGGAAATAGTTGTTAGAGAAAGGAAACCTCTGTAGGATTTCTAAAGTAAGATCACCTTGAAAGCAGTGGACTACGGCTGGTGAAACAGGTACATAATTACTCATATTTCAACCACTCTGTGGAGTCATTTCAGTGATTGAAAGTCAAATGAACAGATGAGTCAGGTCTACCTACCCCAGGAAACAATTAGCTTCTTTATAGCAACATAGTTGGATCAGAAATTGGTGATTTATTACATGCAAATCAAATTTGCAACTTTTCTAATAAGAGATACAAATTTTTAAAAGGGGACACCTATTTCACCAATCAAATTAGCAAAGATTTTAAAAAAAGATGGGCCACAGATGTGAAAGAAAATAACCTGCTTAAATAGTTTTAGCCAGTATGCATGTAAATTGCTGTAACTTTTCTAAAGAGCTTGGAAGTATGTATCAAAGGCTTCAACTGTTCGTTTACCTTGTAATCCCATCACTAAAAGTTTATGTTAAGAAAATTAATTTGAGATGTTCCCAAGGATTTGTGTATGGATGTTCATCATTTCCTCACCAGGCTAGTTATAATCAACAATTCAGTAGAACCTAAATGCCTACAAATAGAATAGATAAATGCATTATGGGGTATTCAGATGACAGCATAGTATGCAGCAACTAAAATCCACAAAGGAGGAGGAGATGTAATGGTGTGAGGAGGTGCACTGTGAATCATATAAAAGACATGTTACAAAAGGATATGTTTAGGGTAACACTCACTATGTGACTATATGTGCATATTTTTGTACTCTCAGAAAGAACTGCAAGAGTGTACATACCAACACGTTAACAGTGATTTTCTCTGGAAGTTACTGTTACAGATTATTTATACTTCATTATTTACTCCTCTTTTCATCTTTTAATTTTTAACACCTTGCTAACTAAATATTTGATTCATCTGCAAATGTTCTTTGAGTGCCTTCTGTGTGTCAGACTGGTATTGGGTGGTAACCAAGAGTGAGAGTAACAAAGAGGTCTGACCTGGAACGTTTAGCTTAGTGGAGAAGATAAAAGCAAACAAACAAGTGAGATGATTTCAAATTGTGCTAAAGGTGACCCAAGGTGCCGTGGTGAGAAAAGTTCCCTCTAAGGTTGTCTATGCCGCCAATGGAGGGGCCAGAAGCCTGCTAAATGAAGAGTTGTGTGTATGTGTTGTGAAGTGCAGGTAGGGGAGAGACCATGCCATACTGGGAATGGCATGTGCAAAGGCCTTGATGCAGGAAACAGTCCTCACTATGTTTAGGATATATTTTTAGTATTTACCCAGCAGATATTTATAGTGAGTATCTTTTATGAGAACATTATATTAGGATTTGTGAGGGATATAAAGATATAGAGCAGGGCTGGGGATTTAGCTCAGTGGCACTGTGCCTACCTGGCAAGGTCAAGATCCTGAGTTCAATTCCCAGGACCCCCCTGCCCCCAAAAAAGGTATAGAGCAAGGGGTTCTGCATTCTACTTCCTGTTAGTACATGGCTAAATGCTAGATCAGCTGCTCAGATGGTTTGTGCTGTAGGAATGTAGAGGAGACTCAGTTTTGCTTTTCCTGTTCATTCACATCTCCTTCAAAGTAGGTTGTCCTGAATGGCTATAAAGGTCATGCTTGCTCAGGTAAAATTCCAAGGTCTTGGGCCATTCTACCTAGTATGGGTCTTACAGGCTAATTGCAAGCCTGAGATGAACATCTGACTTTCTGTGAATCTTTTTTGTATGTCTTCTCTAGCTGATTTAATTACCTAAGCAGTAGATTTTTTTAACCTTGGGTGAAATATTTGAAGTCAGAGAAATAGTATCTGTTTTGAGAAATACTGTCAATTTGCATTCCTTCAGTTTCATTTGGCAAGCATTTCCTGATGGCATGCCCCGTGTTAAACACTGGGCTACACACTTTCATGAGATCAAAATATAGTGAGGAAATTGCCATTGACCCGGGGAAAGAGAGTAAGACAATTTTTACAGTTACTACAGAAAAGGAGAGTCAGAACCGGCAAGAGAGGTGAAAGACAGAGCCCTAGATTTGATCCGGGAGTTTGCAGTGTCTGTTCCCTCTCTGACACTGACACTAGCCATCCAGCTTCTAAGCTTATTTTGCCAACTATCAAGATGGAAGATCATCCCTACGTCAGAAGGTCATGGCAAGTTCCAAAGAGAGCAGTGAATGTGATGGCTCTTTATACATCAGTGTTTGTATTAATCATATTTTACTGTAACTATAATTTATGCATAAGTCTACCTTAATTTGGCTTAATTTTTTTAACCCCTCTGTTTCTGAAATATAGACTGCTATGTCCAACAATTTGGTTTTGCATGATGAATGTGTACTAGAATGTTACCATTTATGCTTTTAAAGTCTTCTATTTAAATTGAAGAATTTAGATTCCAACAAAAATAATAGTTGACCTCTCATTTTTACCTATGTTTTTTATCTGCTTACTGTACAGGACACTCTGGTTCGCCCTCTGAAAAAAAGGAGCTGAGGAGAGTCGCCCATCTAACAGGTCTGTGTCTAGGAGGTGCAGGTGGGGACTTGGGAAGCCTCTGGAAAAAGCAAAATGGTGCTTGGCTTGTGTTCCTGAGCTTTGAGGGAGGTATTTTTTTTTTTTTTTTGGTGACAGTATTTGGAACCAAGGATGTTCACTTCTTTGTGTTCAGGTCACTCTCATGCCTCCACTCCTTCCTAAACCGAAGCTATAGAGCTGTGTGTGACGTGATCCTGGCTCACAAGGAGCAACCTCTTTCCAGTCATTCTAAAGGCCCTTTGGGGATTTGTGACACTGGTCCAAGGACAGACCTGAGAAGGTGTAGGATAAATTATTTTAATCAGCGCTCCCCTGATTTTCTGGGAGATCTTCCTTTTGCTTTGTTGAAAAGTGAGAGCAGGAGTAAGGAGTAGAGGAGACTCTTAGTCCTGCAGGTGTGTGGTTTCATCATGTGATCCTAATGTGAAGTGAAATGCTCTGACAGTAGTACAGTGTGGGAACTCCCGCTGTAAACCATAATTATCTGAAAACCAGATAAATGTCACAAAAGTGATGTGCTACTGCTCCTGGAATTACTAAGGTAGAGATTGGGAAGGATTCAATTGGATTCACCAACATTTATTGAGCACCATCTGTGTGTCAGGATTTGAGGAGCATGGCAATGGATAGCAGATGGTTCTTGCCACCAAGGAGGTTGAAATCTAACAGGACAAGACAGGCACATAGTAATAATTTCAGTACAGGACAGAGTTTCTTGATTAAAGCATATATAATACTGTGGGAATTTTAGCTCAGGTTGAGGGGCTGAGGAACCGATACTGTGAGAAGATAGACAAGATGGTCCCCAAGATCTTTTCAAACTTTAGAATTCCTTAGATTTGGCTTTTCCCTTCATAGAGAGAACCTCAAAGCTTTGTAGGTTTTGGTGCTTGTTCTGAAAAATCATAAAAGGTTTATCCCAGAGAATTAAAATTATCTCAGTATTTTCCACTGCAGTTAATTAGAAGTGTATGTCATTCTACCAACTGTGTGTATGATAAGACTGAGGCAGGCAATTTGATAAAGGCATTGAAGAATTCAATGATGGATCAAGTTCTGGCCATTAGGCCAGTTCTTCGTGGGCTACCGTGCTGGGTAAAACATTTGTTAAATGAAGGGCCCATAGTTTTGCCTTGAAAGCTTAGCTTATTGGATACATAAGCATTCCTGGCTGAAAGCACCTCTCTGATTTATTTCAGGCAAGCTCTACTCACGGTCCATCCCTCTGGAATGGGAAGACACCTATGGAATTGCCCTGATCTCGGGAGTGAAGTATAAGGAGGGTAGCCTTGTGATCAATGACACTGGGCTATACTTTGTATATTCCAAAGTATATTTCCGGGGTCAGTCTTGCGACAATCAGCCCCTGAGCCACAAGGTCTACACAAGGAACTCTAGGTATCACCAGGATCTGGTGCTGATGGAGGGGAAGATGATGAGCTACTGTACTACTGGCCAGATGTGGGCCCATAGCAGTTACTTGGGAGCAGTGTTCAATCTCACCAGTGCTGACCATTTATATGTCAACGTCTCAGAGCTCTCTCTGGTCAATTTTGAGGAATCAAAGACATTTTTTGGCTTATATAAACTCTAGGAAAGGCAATTTAGGATTTTTGCCATTATGATTCCTTGTGAGAAGCACTGGGAATATTGTCTTTAATGAGAGTCGTAAGCCTGCTGGAGAGTGAGAAGACACGAACCACAGAGACTTTGAGTAAACAAGGTCCAGCAAGTCTGTAGTTCCTCACTTCACCTAGGGTCTATGAGACAGACAAGAAGAGGAACAGGACCGAAGTACATAAAGCTTGGGCTGCCTAATGAGGATGTGAAGGCATAGAGAAGCAGCTGTCAGGTATTCTCGACTCATGTGGCACACGGAAAAAGGACACCTTTTAATTCACCTCCAAGGGAGGGTATATTTGCTACCTCAAGGGAGGCCATCTTTCAGATACGTGGCTGTGGCATGAATGTGTGAGGGATGGAAAAGGAGGACTAGCCTTGCATAAGCTAAAGAGACTGAAGGAAGTCTGTGCCCCACTGGTACCATTTTCACTTTTATATGCACATCCTGGGCCACCAGGTGATGCTAACAGAGAAACAAGAAGATCCTATACAGCATGTATATTTCCAGTACAATTGTAAGGGCCTGTGTGTGTGTGTGTGTGTGTGTGTGTGTGTGTGTGTGTGT